ATCTTAGTTAGGGAAAAAGTATGCCAAAAATTTTGCACTGACCAGTCGGCAACTTCATAACGAACATTTTGATGCATAATATGTGGGATTTCAATTTGGTGTCTATCAGCAATAAGACTCTGAATATCCGGCTCAAGAAACCTCTTGCTCCGCGTCAGTTTCCGAGTTCTGGGATACCCCATCTTCGGGGGCTGATTACAGCTATTTTTGGTCACCTGGATTAGTTTTTTTGGCCTATGTATAATAATTTGATCAATTTCAAATCGATCTATATAAAAAATAATCCGAAACTCCGGAATCGCCCGTGGCCTCTCGTGAGGGCGTTTCCGACCAGTGTGCGCTGTCAGTCTCGGGCCGAACGCACCCCCTCCCCTACCCCCACTCCAGCTGTGGCGAGGGTGAGGGTATTCACCGCATCAAACCTACAGGCCGCCTGGACCCTTATCTTGAGACCAATAGTACCACCTACCACCTGTGGATTTAGGAAAACTTCAAATCTGGTCGGAAGGACTAGCCTCATGACCTACGATTTTGACCTGGGTCATCAACTCTTTCAAGACGTTCAACGTCAGTTACATCAACGTTAGATTCAGCTTTTGTTCCTGTGAGCATCATTCAACGGGACGGCATCTCGCTCCCTTTGAAGTGCACCGTGCGCTTGAAAACTTCATCATCACAACAAATTATGTTCTCGAACGATGGCTGGTGAGCTCCACGGGGTGCTAAGAAACTACAATGGGCTTCAGAGGGTGCCGATGGATGATTCTATGGAATGAGTTTTGACATTTTCTTGAAGGTTGTTGAACGAAGCAGCAGTTTAGCTGTGAATATTGACATAATCAGCTAAATACATAACAGACTTGTCCTTCTCGGTGTTTTTTTTTTTATTTTGTGAAGAAAAACCCTCGCATAACCAACACCATTTCAAATGTATGCCTCAGAATCTTTCAAATCAGAGTGAACTTGGCTATGTCTTCAAATTTATGTTCAACCACACAGCTTTCTGGAAAGCCCCTGAAAAGTCCTTTCCCATCCATTCGTCTTGCGGCCCGTCCTACGGCCCCCTGTTAGTCGGTGTATACAGGTGATCCATCTGCCCGCCGGTAACTGATAATTACCCCAAACCTGAGGCCATTACCACCCCGCCGAGAGTGATCCGTCTGCCGGAGAGGTTCTCAACGGGGTGCGGCAGTCCTGGGGCGCTTTGAACCGGCCGACAGAGGCATGGAGTTGGGACTTCGTAGTTGGGGTAAGGGGCTTAGTTGGAGGGGTCAGTTTTGGGTCAGAGCTATTAATAATTGTAAGAGGGATGGTTGTCTGTTGAGAAGGTATTTTTGGTGATTTTATTTTGGCGACATTGTTTTAAGCCATGAGTTAACAGGAAACGTGCAGTTTTAATTGTAATATATTAACACAAATGTGAATAAAACATTGAATTATTCTAAATAAACAAAATAAACTTGTCATCTAATGAGACGTCTGGTCTAAGCGTGCATGTCGCCACGCTATGACGCCCACTGTCTGTTTTTCTAATGATTCACTTTTCCGTTGTACATCAGCCGCCTTTTCCACGTTTTACGTCCGCCCTTGATGGACATCCCCGACATTAGAACGTACAACGGTGCCACGGCCCGCGCTTATGACTAAACTCCCTGATAGAAAGGGTGAAATGAGCACCCGCGAGTTAATGGATGGCCTGGCCACGCCATTATGCGGCCATTTTTCATCTGTACTGCTCGTCAGCGAACGTGAAATTTGCTATTGATTGTGAAAATGGCCCATCACAGCGGGCACAAATCAGGCGGGCTAATTAATGCTCGCCGGAATTATGTCGTAAATAAAGAAAACCGTACATTTGTGTGCGCCGGGCTGGCGGCTGTCAGCGAGTGTGTTCGGAGTCATGCTAGCATTGTTTGCATGGTCCTCCGGCTCGGGAGAATGTCCGACTTCAAAAGGGCGCTCGTGTACGATGAACGATGGTTCAATTACGGCCAGTCGAGACATTATCAAGGACAGGGGTGTCGATTTTTCAAAATGGTTGGGGGTGCTCAACCCCTGCACCGGGTGAAAGATTGCAGCTTTGCCATGGGGCACAACCGTACAAGGCAGGGCTGGTTATCCCCATAAGGTACTGATAATGCCGGGATTTCCACTAACATTTCCCAAGGGCAGAACGTTCTTCTTGAAAATCATTCTGCTCGTCCTAGTACTTGGCTACCTCATTACATAAACATCTTTCCGAAAAAAAGTCGTATATTTGCCGGCAGCATGGCAGCAGCCCCGACACCTCTGTAATAAGGTGACAGAAACCAATGACGGCGATTAGCACCGGTGCAGCAGCCGCTGCGGTCCGCAGGGGCGGACATTGCGCGGAGGCAACGGTGGCTACGAGGCTCTGGCGGTAATCAGACGATCCCAATAATGATCGCTGAAAAATGACAGGTGATCGCATTTGGATATTTACGGGTTTACGATTTTCCTCAGTGGCGTAGCCAGGTGGGCCGTGAGGCACGTGCCCCCCCCCCCCATCAGGTTCGGGCCCAGGGTCCCCTCGGGTTATTCGGGCTTGAGGGGCCCTGAGGCGCCATTGGCCGCTAAGAGTCAATGTTGGCCATATTTGGACAAAGAAGGATCCACGGGGCTCGTAAAAAACCCTCATGGGCCCACCCACAAGTACCAACACTAAGATCTCCACAAGGGCCCCAAGCCAGTCTCTGAGGGCCCTTTGGCGGCCTCTGAGGACCCCTTACCGGCTTCGGAGGGCCACATGTCGGACTCTGGGGGTCTTAACCAGCTTATTCCCAGCCAGCTAATTTGGTCTTGGCCGTAGCTGGTTTTACTCTGGCTAGCTCCGGCATTTGCTCCGGCTTAAGTACGGGCAAGGTCTGGGGCTCTACTGGAGCTGACACACGATACCGGAGCTCGCCCGCATCACAGCCGGACTTATGCCGCATCAGCCGCGCCGTACCTCCACCGTACTTCAGCCACAGTAAGCCAGAGCAGCTATGGGGTGCAGCCGGACCTGGTCGTAGGGAGCCGGACTTGAGCCATGGCAGGGAGCCTGACTTGAGCCAGACTTGGCGGTCCGGAACCATACCAACCCGGGAGCGCTACAGCAAATACTGGCTAGCCGGAATAGAGTCGTATCGACCCAAACCCCGGATTTGACGGCGTTCCGTTTATACCGGCCCAAGTCTGGCATGTCGCAGTTGCCGGGGCAAAACGGACTAGCGCCGAACCAAATTGCTGGCTGGGTAAGGGCGCCAGCTCTAGGAGCTCCGCACCCGCCTGTAATGGCCCCACACCCATTTCTCTGAGGGCCCCTATAACGGCGACTGTGAGGGCCCTCACCGACGCCCCTGAGCGCCACACCGGCGTCTCTGAGGCCCTACACCAATGCCTTTAAAACCCCTACATGGGCGGTTCTGAGGGCCCTCGTCAGGTACCAGCGACCCTGACGGTCCCACACAAGTGGCTCGGAGGGTCCCAGCGGCGTCTGAGAGCACCATGCCGGTCTCTGAGAACCCCACAAGGCTCCTGAAGGCACCGGTGACCTCTTGATATCTTCTTGTCGGCCTATGAAGGGTCCGTTCCGTAACAGAAGTTCTGAGGGCCACACGCGCGCCTGTGATGGCCCTAAACCAGTGTTTCTGAGAGCCCCCACAACGGCGCCTGTGAGGGCCATCACCGGCAACTGTGAGGCCCCTACACCGGCGCCTCGGAGGGCCATACATTGCCATATCTGAGGGCCCCGCACTAGTGCCTCTTAAGGCCCTATATCGGCGGCTCTGAGGGCCCAACACCGTCGCTCCTGAGGGCCCCACAAGTGCACATGACGGCCACCCACCGGTGACATTTGAAGGCCCCACACCGGCGACTCTGAGGGCCCCATCGGCGTCCGAGTCCGTGCCGGTCTCTAAAGACGACCCCACAGGGTTTCTGAAGGTACCACCGGCCTCTGATGGCCTTTGCTGGCCTCTGAGGGCCCGTCGCCGGTCTCTGGAGCCCCCTGCCGGCTTGTAAAGGGTACGCGTTATCAGCTCTAAGGATCAGACACTCGTGTACGACGGACCCACACCAGTGTCTTTGCAACTGAACGTCTTTTTTTCGCCCTTCTTCTTAAGACTAACTTTTCTTTTCTTTACATCTTATTTCATGCATTGTAAATTGCGTAATTGTTTTATTTTTAGTAGTGAAAGACTGCGGAACGAATTATTTTCATCAAGCAGAGTTAGTGGGAGTTATTGAGGGACAAAATGATTGGGGTTACTAACTGGAACATTTGGGGGTGCCCGGAAAACCATTGGGGGTGCTCATTTGAGCATTGGGGGTGCTGCAGCACCCCCAAAAGTATACAAATCGACACCCATGATCAAGGATTAATGACCAGATTAGTTTCAGAGTTATGGCTGGAACGATGCTACAATATGTTGGAAACGACAACTGCGCTTTCCCTGAATTGTCTGTCATTTGTTATCGCGTTTTTAATGGTAAAATCGCCCAAAAGTCGCCATTCCGCTGACGAACGTGCAAGATTATGTCTCTGAAAAATATGCACATGAGTAATGGTGGACAAAGCAGGGGTTCGTTCCCATGCCGCGACTATCTTTTACCGGCGGGCCAGTTCGTTGCTCTCGGCCATTACATTAGCGGATGGATCATTCAGGTGTTGAGTCATTTCATGTAATTGAGATGGATGCGATTCTGCACGGATTTAACGAGCCGGCCCCGTCAAACGGGCGTCCGCTTCCAGCCGCTGTGACGAGCTCTATTAATTCAAAACAAAGCGCCGCCGCCTCAGCGCACCTGTTAGTGAATTCATCGGTAACTGACGGGCCGTGCCCCCTTCCACGGTGATCACTCGCCACCGCCGCCCCGCGTCATGAGCACCCCCGCCCACCCGGCCCGCGCGGCGCCCCAAAGCCAACTGCCGCCGCCGGCGCGATCGGCCCGCCACCTATCGGCAAAATGCGCACGTGCGGTGTACGCCGGCGGGCGCCGCCAGTTCGGGAGAAACCTCTGTGCGGTGTGGCTGCGCCAGCTCTCGGCTTGTTTCGAGCTCCGAGTCGGAGTTTTTGCGAGTGGTGCGGCCGACGCGTGCCCGCGTGAGCACCAATGGTGATTTTGGACACGTCCTCGTTCCGCAGCAGCATGTTGACGAACGGATCCCACCATTACATCCAGCCGGATCCGTTTGTGCCCATCTCCGGAGCGGTAAGTTGCACTCTTTGTGTCAATGTGTTTCGCTGTCTCTAAAATTCACCTGATGGTAAAAAATTTGCTTTGAATAAGTTAGATGCTTTATCTGATGATGTTATTTCTTTCACATGTTTTCCTTGGATTTTGGTTTTGCTTTCACGCATTTATCGGCAATGTTGGCCTTTTTGATCCGCACCTTGAAACACTGAGAGTAACACGTAACTTTTACCCACTTCGCTCCTTTAAATACTTCGGTGTTTCGTTTAGAGTTATTCATCATTAATTGTGCATCTGTTGCAAAATTGTTTTCAAAATCATTGTGCTGCTAAGCGTCTACTTTATCAAGCGTCTACGGCCGTGGCTTTTCTTGACCAAACTGCTTTGACGCCCTTTTTTTAATTATTTTAAGCGATTTTTTTGGATATGCATTTATTGTTATTGTATTCTTTGGTAGTCAATATTTTTTTCGTATCACATTGTCTCTTTCTAACATAATTATATTGCTGTACACAGTTCCCCTGCTCGCAAAATTTTCGGTTCTTAAATCGAAACAACAATATTCTTTCGTTTTCCTTCCTTCTTGTATTATCTGTTTTAGTGCTTGTTGGAGGATCATTATTAATGTAAAAATCAAGTATTTCTTTATTGTCATGACCTTTCCTCCTTTTCAAAAATATGCTGAGCCAGAATTATATTGTATTAGCGTTTTCAAATATATCGGCCACAGGCCTTCATCAGTGAAATATCCAAAAGTTCAATCCTTTTGGATATTTCACTGATGAAGGCCTGTGGCCGATATATTTGAAAACGCTAAAACAATATAATTCTGGCTCAGCATATTTTTGAAAAGGAGGAAAGGTCATGACAAAAAAGAAATTCTTCTTGTATTATGTTGATATTTTCCCAAATTTTCTCCTCCTGCGCGTGTGTTGAAAAGTAAAACTTTGATCGCAGCGACTTGTTCAATCCAAACCACTCAACCTTTCCTCTTTTGATCTGTAAACACTTGACCGTGTTGTTGAACACTCGTGTAATCCAAGTCGAGCACGGCCTCTCGGAGTTTTCGTTCCCTCACTCACTGCCCGTATCCGCCGTCTCACACGCCAACATCAAAGCCGCTTCTGGGTGGTCTGCACCACTCAGGCCCTCTAAAGCCCGCCTCACACGGCTCCGCCGCCGCGCTGCCAGATCTGTGGGTGGTCTCCTTATCGATCTGGCAACACGACCATCGATTTGCATGTCACCCGCCCCTGCTAATGGCTGTTGCTGAGTATGACGGTCCGGCGGCGTCGCTAAAATATACCGTCTGCGCAGTGGTCGTATTTTCCCCGTTACTGGTTTAATATGACAGCACAAAGGAAACGGACGAGGCCGTTGGTTGATAACGACCGACAATCGGCCGTCTCAAGTAGCGATTCCCGTAGCAGGAATAAATGCTCGGCAAATTGCCTCGCGGCACGAATGGCCGCCAGGCTCGTTATGCGGGGCGATTAGTGTTCTAATGAGCCGCTAGGCGCGCTCGCTAGTGATCATGGGGCAATACGGACTTCATTGTGGCCCATAGACTATGCACGTCACACGATATTGTTAATATTGTATGACCCGCCATTTCTGTGGCCAAGTGGCCGTTCCGAGAAAATACGACCGTTGCGGCGCAAGTGCGGCATTTGTGTGGAGTGACGCTGGACGGGCGTGGGTTATAGTTGCGTTCATACCGTGTTACGGCCACTTTACCTTCGCCACACCGGCAGTTAACCAGCGGTTTACCGGCGCAGCACTACCACTTGTTCCGCGCACCGAGTCACGGTGCTGCCAGGAACAGAGGCCGTTTCACCTCGGCCGTTCTCGCTCGATAAAGGCCATGATTGCCGGTTTCCATTGTTGCTTAATTAATAAATTGTCCGGTTGCGAAAGCGGCGATGATAAATTATCACACGGTGGTGATAAATTATCCTGCGGCGGCGGCGGCGGATGGTCGGAGGGTCATTACGGGCCTGTGATGGTATCGCCGCTGAGCGGGACTGTAAATCAGCTCAGCGCCGCCCCGCAGCACCCTGCTGGCCCGCCCACCGCCGCTGGAGCTGCGGAGAGGGTCGGTCAGCGCTGGAGCTGGGGAGAGGGTCAGCGGCGCGGGGCTGGAACGAACAAGCGAGGGACGGGCCGCGGAGAGGCCGGACGGCTAGGATCGAGTGGTCGAGTGCGGGGCGAGTCTGATAGAAGGGGTGGGCTGATGAGATGAGGGAGGGCAGTGGTCGATGTCTTGGTCGAAAGGCGGGCTAGGAAGGATGGGCCTGGGCGTGGGTAAGACGTAGTCAAAGGTAGGGTCGGGAGGCGTGCCAGGAAAGCTGAGCTAAAGTCAGCAGGCGGCCTGAGATGTGGCTGGTAGGGGCCCATACGTTCTGGTCACGACCGTTCTCACGCGCTTTGCTGAACCTGTGCCGTGAGCTTGTTTGCGCAGGTGGCTTACGCAGCTGTATGTAGCTAAGCAAGCCAGTGACTCACGCTATGAAAAGGCTCTGGACAGTGGAAACAGTTGCCGTGCGCCTGTCGTACAGAGAACTGCACTTACTGCCAACGTGTTTACTCTTACCACAAGCGCGTTTAATTAGGAGGAAAATGCACACAGCGGTTAGATTGAACAAGTGTGGTTGTGTGCATTTTTCTTGGCAACCGTATGCCGAGCATTTGAGGCTGCTTCCTGATTGCGGTTTCAGCAAACCATACATTCCCATTGAATACTACGTACTTCTGTCAAGTACAGAAAATGCATTGTAAACAATTGTTGGAAACGCGTTTCCATTGTAAGACCCCAGCTGTTTGAACATTCTAACATATAATGCATAAGACGCACAGTTACCTATCAGAGAGCGTCAGTTACCCAGAAGAGGTGCTGGTTATTCCCAGGTCGTTGATCGTAGGACCTGACAAAGTCATACCGCCAGCTCTTTCCTTTTTCCTTCATCCTTTCTTGCCCCATCACATCCAACACGTCAGAATCCTTATTGCTGCTTTACCACGAGAAATACGTTGCATTGATAAACTAGCGTTACATATTGTAAGCATGTCCCTTCCACCCACTGATGTGTTCGTTCTTTTTCGGCAGATGGATGCGAAGTCCTCGCCGCTGGCGATGCTGCAGCGGACCTGCTCTCAGATCGGTGCCGACACCACCGCCACCAAACCGCTCATCACCGCCGAAAAGAAACGTGACGACAAGAAGGAGGCCTCCTCCTCTCCGGCGGCCGCCGCGCCCGCGGTGGCGCCCGCCGCCGCCACCACCGCGCCGGCAGAGAAACCCACCTTCAAGCCGTACGATCTCGATAGGAAGGATCCTCCCGCACCGGCACCTCGTGCGGAGGATCCGCCGAAGGAGAGGAAGAGCCCCGGCAGGTCTCCGGAGAGCAGGAAGACGCCCAAGAGCGACTCCTCGACGGCGTCCGGGTCGGGCACGAGCCCCATCACCCGGCCCGGCGCCGAGGTGCTGGCGGGCGTCGGATCCAAGGACCTGGCCGGTCTGGGGCTGCACAAGCCGGGCGCGCTGCCGATGCCGCTGCCGCCGTACCTGCCGGGCGCGGACGCGGCCTCGGCGGCCCTGCGGCCGACGCTGCCTGGACTGCCGGGACTGTACTCTCAGTCGGGTCTGTCGGCGGCCTCGTACCTCGGTCTCCCTCCTCACCGGCCCGGAGAGAAGTGTGCGAGCCCGTACTGTCCGTGCGCCTACAGCAGCTCGGCGCACGGCTACGGCGCGCCCTGTCCGGCCGGCTGCACCCAGTGCGAGCACGCCAAGTCGCTGAGCTCCGCTCTGCACGGCTCGCCGTACCTGGGTCTGGGTCTGAACCCGTTCTATCCGCCGACCAGCCTGGGGTTGGGTCTGCCCACCGCGCCAGGCGCCGCCTCCGCCGGAGCTCAGCCCATCGTCTGTAGCTGGATGGCCGAGGGACGCTACTGTGGCAAACGCTTCGCCAGCACAGAGGAGCTCATGCAGCACCTGCGCACCCACACGAACCTCTCCGCCAGTGACTCGGCGCTGTCGCTGCTGCACCCGGCCTACCAGGCGTCGCTGCTGGGCGCGCACCGCTCGCCGTTCGCCGTACCTCCTTCCTCGCTGTCGCCACTATCGGCGGCGAGGTACCACCCGTACCCGAAGCCGCCCTCGTCGCTCGGCCTGGGCGCCCCGCACCCGAGTCTGGCCGCGTACGCCGCTTACTCGCCCTACGGAGCCCTGTATGCCCGGCCACCCACGATGCCCTGAAGGATGTCGCCAAGGACATCCCCCAGGCGCCTTGCACGTTCGCCGTGAGCATTGGCGGCCTCAGAGGAGGGGGCTCTGAAGACGCGAACCAGCGCGGCGCCTGGGACATCACTCGGGGTTCACATGCTCGAAGTAGTGCCTGTGGCTCTTGTGGAGCTAGCTCGTTGGTGTTCACGTGATGGAAAGTTTGGGGAGCTCTAAAGTCGCCCCAAACGTGGTCTCGTTCTCATCTGGTTCAGCTGGCGAATAAGTGCGGGTCCAAGCGCGGTGAATCGTGCTTGGTACCGCGGGAGCCCTGACGATTGTGTCCTCTGCTCAGTGGCAACTGTGCAAGGCGTTTGGGGGAGGGGATCAGAGGGGGAGCCCCTTTCGGGCCCGCTGTGACACCCGTCACCGACGGTAAAATGTCAGTCAGATTGTGATATGCCCGTTTTCATTGTGATACTGATGTGTTTGCTAGTGCTAAGAGTGTGTCATTATCGTTACCATTGTGCCGGGTTGTACTCGTGTCTATCTTGACCTGACTTTGACGCCGGCTCTGGCGGGTGCGAACGCTGCGATTTCGTTGGAGCGCTCACGATGTATTCAGACATTGTTACGTGTTCTCTTGAGTTTATTGTCGCGTGCTGATGTGTGCTGGGCTGCCGCATGCCTTCCGACCGACCCAGTTCTGCGCTCTCGAGTCGCTCGTGCGCGGCTCGACGCGGGCGCCTGGTGCAACTGTAAATATCACCCTAACTTATTGCTGCTGAATAAATCAAATCGTGAAAATTGAACTGTCGTGATATACGGCCTGGGCAGCGGTGAAATGGCAGCCTTTACGGGCCGTTGGAGCGTTCGAAGAGGCTCGTAAGTTAAATCGTCGACAGGGGCGGATCCAGGCGGGCGCCAAGGGAGTGATTCGCCTCATCAATCACACGCTCTTAATTTAACGAGCACGCCAGGGGACGTGAGCTGTCGGCGTTAGCATCAGCTGTCGGCTGTTTGTTATTTTCGCCACGTGATGAACGTTCCACGGCGCCTCTGCGAAGCCGGGCGCGGCAAGGGTCAAAATGACGCTGATATACGACGAGGAATCGACCGTGACGACGTCGTTTGCCGCTGGGGCGTCGCTCGGTAGCGTCTGCCGCGAAATATGGCGGCCATATCTCGTGTGTCAGGACTCGGCGCTCGGACCGAGGCGGCTCGGGACAGTGGCTGGACGTGCGGAACGTCAAGAGCTCGCTCCAGGAGGCGGGTGTCAGAGGCGAGGCGGGGAGGGTCACGGGTCACGGCGTTACTCGCCGGTCTCGGGTGTTAGGTTGATGTGGCGTGTCAGCGCTGTATCCGGTGGTGGTGACGAATGGGAGCGGAGCACGCGATCCAGCCGGGAGTTCGCCGGCCCGTGGACCAGTCTGAGGTGGACTGGCACCGGTGGAGGTGGGACGGTGGCTAAATTTGATAATTTTTTTTAGGCTTCCTTTCTTTATTTAGCTCTTGTGGCGGCCGCCTGTAAGCAGGAATAACCTTTCTTTAATATTTCCGGAAGGAAGATGGTATGAACCTTTTTGACTGGTCTACTGTTGAACGCTATGTACGGTTCGCTTGAAGCTTTGTCAGGGATCCACTCAGTCGCTAAATTTAGGGTAGTTGTGCAGGTGCTGAAGCAAAATGTCTCTGCAGGCCGACGATAGCATTTCTGAAAAGATAACTAAAACAACATGTTTAAGATATGACAGAAGTACCTACAGAAGTAAAAGGCGAAAGCTACTGCGTTGAACTGGACTCTCATTGCAGTAGCGGCGGAACACCTTCAATAAAGGGGGGGGGGCACTGCCGACTTTTGGTTCCATTCTTTCCATGCAACGCCCATAGGGCTAATGTTAAAATACCAAGATCAAAGGGGGGCACGGTGCCCTCCCTGTTCCGCCGCCTATGTCTCATTGCTCAGTTCCTAATTTTACATGATTTTCCGATCAGCAGCGTGGTTCATCAGAACACAGCCGGCCAGGGTCCAGTCGCTATTCATAGATCACTTGCTATGCGCATGATATTATGCTTATTATTTTCTGAGATGGCTTTGTGAATGAAACATGACAGCCGACCCCTGCTCATGCATCAGCGCGGGATGCGCTCACAACGTAAAGATGACAGGCGAAACTCAGCTGCAATAAATCATGCATGTTCGATGTGTATCTTGCGGTCCCGCGAACCGTTCACCTATAAAAGTGATGGCACCGAAGGGCCATGAATCGTATCGGATTGACGTAGCCGATTGACATGATGGGTCAGCCATGAGACCGTCTTCTGCTTGCTTATAGGACGGTTTCTGCTTTGTGTGTGTGCACGTGGTGAATGTCTTACAACTCTCTCACTGGCACAACTGAAAGAAAGCTCAGACTTAAAAGGAAACGTAAATGCAGTAGTTTTTACAATTGCAATGATGCTCAGCCATTTTTCCTTGTTTGGTGTTTCGGTAAAATCACTTAGTCGACGTTTCTTTTTGAGATGGGAATTGACGAGAAATGCCCAAATGTGCATGTGAATGTGGATGTAGCGTTAAATGTTAAGGACCGGTGGATTTCGGGCATTCAAAACCACGGCTCCATTACTCACAATCATCATCAAAGTTGGACGTTTATTTCATGAAATTCAATAAACTCTCTGTTTTATTAATCCGTAATGTCGCTATGCTACGATGAGTGCTTTGATATGGGTGCCATTACGTCCGTTAGTAAGATATGTGTGTCAAAACATCCATCAACATGCAATACAATCCCATTAATGTCCTATCCGCTATACCATAAGTCTCGCTTAAATTGGCAACCACACAGCAGTTTTATGTGGTAAACTGCCTAATAAATTAGCCAGACAACGCAATATACGGTATGCTATAAGTCAAGTGTTATTTAGCGGCTTTTTCGCTGACATATTGCCGAGGAACATTAGAAAAGAGAAAACCTAACTATTTGAACTAAAACCATGGAGCTCCTCATTGTATCAACGCGACAAACCGAGCCTACACAGGCGCTGAGTCGTAGTGGCCTTTTAATGCGACAAATTACGACCTCCTTTGATAAAAATGACGGCTTGAGTCGGGCGAAAAGAGGCCGCCTCGACATGGCTGCGGGCGGGCCAACATTTCATGCGGGGCCCGTCGGCCCGGGCCGGGTCGGGTCGGACCGAGCCGGGCCGGACCGGAGAGGGTCGTGTCTCAGCACAAACGCCGCCCAAGGACAACTGCAGGGAATTTATAGGGCCGTTACAAATGAGCGGTGAACGCCGGCCGACAGGGCGGCTCACTTTATGTGCGGCCAGAGCTGCCATATCTCAGCGCGAGTGGTAAGGGCTGCCATATCTCAGCGGGAGTGCTGAGTATCAGCTCTATAAAAGGCGAGTTTGGAGATATATCGGCCAGTAAAGACGAGTTAGCGCTGACAGTAAAGATGCTCCAACAAACGCCGCTGCCGACGGCGACGGAAACGGCGCGATTTCGGCGCACCAGAGACGATTTTCGACGAGTGCCTGGCGCGCCGTGGAGCGCAAAGGTCATACGAGAGACTTTAGTATTGGAAAACTGGGCTTGACGACGGTTAGCATATGTCCATAGGGGATATTGTGGGATAAATGTCCATGGATCTGTGGATTTGTATTTTAAAACATTACATAAATTTATGTAATAGCTATGCAGGGGGAAGCAATGGGAGAAAAATCGGAGATTCATTCTAGATTTAGGCACCGTTGGGTATAAAAAGTACATGATAATTTACTTTGCAAAAGCAATATTATATGAAGGACTTGTGCACACCTAATGTATTCTTCAGTGTAGTTTCTGTGAGGAATTGTACTGCGATGTTAGTTAAAGGGTAGCTTGGACAATGCACACTGTACGGCAATAACAAAAAGCCTGCACCGTTATGCACTGTCTCTGTAATTGCCACCCGACAACTGCATATTCTCATTTCTCAAAATCCCCAGCTGAAACGTTTATTTATAATGAAATTAACCCGGCTAGTGTGGCAATTTATCACAATTTTCCGCGGCGGTCACCACTAGTCAGTTGTCACGAGACTGTCCATATATTTACGGCCGGTGTCGGCTGATGAGCACTTCTGACGACCACAAAATCACCGAGGGCGCATGCGCACACCGCCCGGCGGCCCCTCTATTGCGGGGTGCACCGGGCGGCGACTCTGATTAGGGCCGAAAATTGCCGGCTTTCAGTCATTACAGAATGACAGAACGGACTCCTAATTGGGTGTTTTGGCGCCCGGTGACGCTCTGTGGCCGGCTCGGTGGAAGACCGATGTCTGAAGGAGTGGTGTGGCCTGTCACGGACGGCGGCGCCAAACACAACCCAGTGAGTGGGGAAGAAATGGCAAAACAGGTGTAAGGTACCATACTTCTCGCGTGTTATGTTCTTTTCGTTCAGTATTTTTTCTTGCAACTTTTTATCTTGCCTTACAGTTTCCCTTGAAATTCAAATATCACGAAACAGTAAGTTTCAATTTAGATGGTGCATGGGCAATTAGCTTCGCAGTTGACAAATGCCTCTGAATAACGGTAAGATATGATGCTCTAATCTAACCATCACTCCTGCTTTTTTTACATCAGATCATCCGATCATTGAGATTGATATGGATATACGGGGGCGTGAGGCTGTCACCAAACATCAACACACGCTGAAAGCACACCTCCAAAAGCTGTTACCAGACACCAGCTCTGACTCCCAAAATGGTCTCGTCATTTGCTACAACGCTTTGGCGAACCACGTCTTCCACATGGCCGTCATCACATTCATGCATCAAAACAGGCGCTGCATGGCTTCATCTAAGCACAAGCCATCCTTCTTGGTGGCTATCACCGTCAGGTAGTCCTTCATCCCGTCAGATTGTGATATTAGCATCCCGTCTCGATCATACATCCTGGCCAGTGTCTGATGTTATCCCCCGTGTGCCGATGGGATCATTCGTTACGGTCGTCCCCGTCGTCCGTCTTGACCGTGTCGTCGGCCCGGTGGAGGGATTTCCGCGGTCACGGGGCACGGCGAGTCGTCTGTCGACGCCAGAGAGGTTAATCCGCAGATTTCGGCCGTTAATTCGTCACACGGCTCCACTGTGCGTCGTAGGTGTCGTGCCGGTGATGCACAGTGCAGTGATACATTAGAGGATCTGGGTTCAGGGGTTCGGGGAGTATAGGGGCGAGCATGACGTGAAAATGGCGTCTGATTCATCAGACTAACGGTTGTTCCAAGCTAGGAGGCCAGGTAATGGAAACATTTACCATCAGAGGCGGTTTTAGAGGATAGCTTTACTTTATAGGGAAATGTGCTTGATAGACGACACTGTTCGCATTTTGCCGGCTGCTCGCGTTTCGACAGCTACCTTGAATGCCAAGCTTTTGACAGGTACGCTTTTTTGACGTTATACAGGGTGGGGCAGAAAGATTTATCTGTTTGTTTTCAGTCCATAACTAAAAAAGTTATGAACGGATTTTGATAAAATTTTGCATGGAGTTTCACTGACTGATGCATCAACATTAAGATCGTTTTTACATTTTGTAATGATTGTTGGTGAGCTATGGCGAAGATGACTAAGTGAGCCCAAATTGCGGCTCTGAAGTAGGCTGGCCACAACTCCCGAAGCGTTGCCAAACAGCTCGGTGTTGCCGTAAAAACTGCTTGCAGTGACTAAATGCTTGCAGTGCTTGCAGTGTAATTAAATGACTTTAAAAGACAGTGTTAGTGTGGACGAAGTCCATGCCAGGCAGAACAAGGGATTTCCGCTTCAAAA